TATTAATAAAAAATTATTTCAATGTGTTCATCAATTTTCCCAAAAGGAATATTTTTTTAAATTTATCCAAAAATATTTATACATGAAAAGCTCTTGTTTTGTTAAAGGCGATGTCTACCTGCATACAACTTGGAAAGCACTGGGTCTCGTCTGATCACTAAAGTTAAAACAAGTCGGGCGAAGTTAGTACTTGGGTGGGTGACCTCTTAGGAATACTTCGTGTCGTAGGCTCCTTTTTATTTATTAATAGAAAATTATTTCAATGTACTCATCAATTTTCTCAAAAGGAATATTTTTTATTTATTAATAGAAAACTATTTCAATGTACTCATCAATTTTCTCAAAACGAATATTTTCTTTAATTTTATCCAAAAATATTCATAGATCGAAAGCTTTTGTCTTCACAAAGGCGCTGTCTACGTCCACACCGCTTGGAAACCACTGGTTCTCGTTTGATCACCAAAGTTAAAACAAGTCGGGCGAAGTTAGTACTTGGGTGGGTGACCTCTTAGGAATACTTCGTGTCGTAGGCTCCTTTTGATTTATTAATAGAAATTTTTTTTCAATGTACTCATCAATTTTCTCAAAAGGAATATTTTTTTTAATATTATCCAAAAATATTCATAGATCAAAAGCTTTTGTTTTCTCAAAGGCGATGTCTACGTCCATACCACTTGGAAAGCACTGGTTCTCGTCTGATCACTAAAGTTAAAACAAGTCGGGCGAAGTTAGTACTTGGGTGGGTGACCTCTTTGGAATACTTCGTGTCGTAGTCTGCTTTTTATTTATTAATAGAGAATTATTTCAATGTACTCATCAATTTTCCCAAAAGGAATATTGTTTTTAATTTTATCTAGAAATATTAATAGATCAAAAGCTCTTGTTTTCTCCAAGGCGGTGTCTACGTCCATACTACTTGGAAAACACTGGTTCTCGTCTGATCACCAAAGTTAAAACAAGTCGGGCGAAGTTAGTACTTGGGTGGGTGACCTCTTACGAATACTTCGTGTCTTTGGCTCTTTTTGAAATGGGACAGCGAACAATGAAACATTATTGCCTTGATAAAACGGAGTTTGCATCCAAATGCTTTTTTGTCCCGTATCTAAAAAATACGATAATTTTTTTCGATTTGAAAATGCCTTGTCATGTTACTCCATTTCTTGGAGAAAAGTGGAAAATATTATGTTGTGAAAAAAAATGGGGCTTAAAAGGCCCTACTCTTTTCTCTTCCTAAGTCGTAAAACACTTCCTGACTATGTTCTAAAAAAAATAAATATATATTCTTAACTAAGAAAATGCTCTTCGTATTAAATTTGAAGAATTTCATCTGACAGTAAACTTCAAATTACTTGTGTTTCAAAGGTTCCTTATTGTTGAAGTTTGTTGATTTCAAAAAGTTTTATGGTTAATATTTCATTGTTTTTCGTTCCGGTCATTAGATGATTTTATTAATTTAGCTAATTATCAGTATGAGTAAAGTGCCTTAGTCCGCAAGCTTTTCGTACTTGCACCTTACAAGCATGGCGTGACATATTTATTCGGTCAAGAACCGTTAAAATAGAACAAAGTCATAGTATAATGTTTGCAAAATGCTGTTTTCATTTACAGAAATCCAGCGTGAGATAATTCAAAGCATTCAAAGGTTTAATGCTTATAATTATATGGTCCAGCATGACGCAGAGCCTGAATAATCCATTTATCCCATTATGCCTTTCGAGCGTAGACCACGAGGGAGATTTTAATACTTAACGAAACAACCTATAGCACCATTTTAAAGAAATGTTTTTTTTTGGCGAATATGGCATTTGTATCTTTATATTAACTTTATATATTACCGATAAAGATATGGACGTTTAGGATGTGAGAAAATATACACTATATGGGCGCAAATTTGTGGTATTTCATAAGGTGAGTTGATGTTTCATGAAGTCATATGCCAACATGCTAATTGAATGTGTTATTATATACAACGTATAAGCCTGTATTTGTTAGCCTTCGTTAGCCTTTATTCCACCTTATTATAGATCAAGAATTGTATTTAGGTCATCTTTCATCGTTCAATGATTTGCGCTATGATTTTCCATGTTATTATCTGTTTATATAGTTAAATAGTTGGCTATACCAGGGATAGCTAACAATCCTTAGAATTCCTCAGCAATTAGAATTATGGCCTAGATATACTCAGAGAAGCAAAATAAGAATTGTCCAATGTTGTGATATAATATAACTAAGGCAGCATATGACAGTGTTTCTAATGTCTTTGTTTGAAATGTAGGATAAGAGTTGAGTTGTATTTTCAGATTGATACCAAATCCAGAGGGGTTAATGTAGCAGTGCTTCTCCACAGAATTTATACTATCATAGGGAGGTAGGAAAGCAGTGTAGAATGGGTTGAAGGATGGGTGCATTTGATAGTTGTCTTAAAGCTAAGTAGTTTTCTTAAAAATGCCGGTATAGCAGGGGATAGCTAAATAATAGCTTCAAATTCCCCAGAGTACCTAAATTATTATTTACCAGTGTTTTTGTTTGATGTACTCAATTCCTAACATGATTGCAAAGTTTTATTTTAAGTTGAGTGTGAACTAAGGACATCAATTTTTGAATATTTACTCTCAATTTATCTGATGATGTCTCATCTGATTTTAAGGACACAAAAATCTTTTTGCAATAATTGATCTGTACGCTGAATAATTGGTTTTAAACATGTCAATAAAACTGGACAATACAGAACCTTCAAAGCTGGGATGCAATATTATATATAATATTTCTCTGTATTTTCTATAAAATCATGTAGGGCCTAGCTATAATTCTCATGTATTAATGTCACTGGACGAAAAACTGGATTTACGACTATAGTATATCTAAAGCAAACACGACGTAAATATCATATTCAGCAATGTTTGGACATATTTGTGCACAATCAAATTCTGTTTTTTCCGCATATTTACACACCACGTAAACACGCGGAAGACCGTTTTTATCGTATTGTTACACCTAGTGTAAGTTTTATGAAACATTCATATTATACTTATTTTCCCCAACGCAAATAACGCAGTAAAAATGACATTTACAGCCATATTAAATATTGTCAAATACAACATTAGCACATAAAGTAAAATAGCGTAAACCTTTGTAAAAATCGTAATCAACAACGTTTGCTCATATTTTGTTAAAAATCAAATTTGGTATTTTCACCATATTTCACACTAAGTAAATAAGGGGGAAGTTTGTTTTTGCGAAGACCGAAAAGATGAAATAAAGATGTACATTTGCAACATATTTTCTCAAGTAGCAAATTGGATAATAATATACTTACATAAATAGCGTAAATATAAAGAAATACAATATTGCACATGAAGTAATATAACGTAAACGTCATTAAATATCCCATTTAGTTGATTTACTCCGAGTTTTATACGAATTTTGCGTTTTATTTGTTTTGCTTGAAAATATACATGAATGCTATATTTATTGCCATGGCATCATATTTTGAATATTATCAAACACGACGTTTGCTATTGTATATTTGTTTAAATTGCCACCGAGGTGAACAAATAATTTGCTCACGTTTGCTTTCCTTGCAAATACGTGTGGTGAAATATTTCGTAATACAACATTTCTACACATGGTTTAAAATTCATGCAAAGATCATGTACATACTGCATTTGCATGAATTGCCTCGTACGCATATGGAAAAAATGCGGTCAGAAATTTGACATGCAATTTCCTAGTTTCAATAATCATGATCACAACTACAAAGCTAATACTGTAATGTATCATATTTATTCTATAATGAAAGAAAGTGTTTGTTGCACATTTAAAGTAATGTTTACAAATTACAATTAAGCTTACAATTCAACTACACAAACAAATCGTATTAAAGATTAAAACGGTGTGTCAATAATTCACCTATGATTATGTACAAAAAGAAGAAAATACGAGAAATAATGTTTCAAAAAAAATTTCATTGTTTGATTGCCCACTCTGGGGATCCCAAAGGCGCAAGACGGTTGAATTGTTTCCCTTCACCCTCTCAATAGTCATGCCACCTTTTCTGCCTCTCTTCTTGCCAATTTTTTGTCCGTCACCATCAGTTTGTTGGCCTCATCACTTCTCCATGGTAATCTGTATGGAGAATTCCTTGCTTTTGATTGATGTTCGGTATCCGAAGAGCTATCACCAGAGGACGCATCCTCTCGTTCAGATGCCTCGGATACCGAGTATTCTGATGACATGTAGTCGTTGGTCATTATTTTAAGGAGGATAATTTAGGAAATTGGATGGAGATTTGTTTAGTCACTTTTTCAACATGCTTTTCACTGAAAACTTCCGCTTGTATTTGGGAACTTAGCAACGAAGTTCGCGAACATTCAGACGAATGTTGTACAAATTCGACCTACGAAATACAAGTGAAACTTACCACTGCGTAGATCTAAATTTTTTAAACGAAGACAAGTTTAAGGGGAATTTAGATTAATATATGACAAGACTACCTTGTAAGTGTTCGTAACTTTATATACTAGCGAACGGCTTTACGGAAAGGTTGTAACTAAAATTATTAAACAAGGAACAACATATAATAATGAAATTTCGTTAGGAGCCAAAAGTTTGCTTCTTTACAAATGCACACAGGAGGAGGTTCTCTGTAAAGATTCTACAAATTGGATGTGTCTCAGCCTCAAAGAGTACAAGCAGGTAAAGATAGATCTTATTTAATACAACTATAATATTATAAAAACTGTACCATGCAAAACGCAAAATCTACCAGATACAATGAGACATATCAATGGAAACTACTATACAAGTATATGAGAGGATTGTATATGTATGTATGTTGCTACAGAATGTTTTTCTTTCATACTGAACACAGAAAACTCCTAACACAGAATAAAGAACACAGCAGAAGCTGAGCAGCAGGCTGAGACTCTTTATATTTCTTCCTTAATTTACATATGTAATTCAAAGAACTGTACGAATCTTGTGTTCGCAGGGTGAAGCCCTCATAAGGGAGAACTTGTAGACTGAAATTGATATTTCACACTTACTGTATTGATTCTACTTCTATTTCTTTGCTTTTTGAGATACTGATCACTCAGGTTTTGCTCCTTGGTCTTCTCGGCACGTTTTCTTGTTTTGAAATAACAATGCATTGCCGCTACATAATAAATGTGAATAAATGCATGTAAACACAAGTACTGTACATGTGCAATGGCTTTAAAAGCATGCTGGAGCATGTTAAAATGGTACTAGCACAGCAAATGTACATACATGTACTCTGTTTCAGTTTTAAAGATGTATACTGTATAGATTGAGTTTTTAGTTTTTAAAAGTAGTAAATATGCATAATGAACTTTCTTCTGTGCTGATCTTGCATATAAAGTAGCCAAATCTGAGCACTACTTTTGTCACTCACCCAAAAAAATTATCACAATGCATAAATTAAGTCTTTTGGCATGGCGGCACAATGTTACTCTTAATGTAACTGAAAACTATTTGTACAGTACTGGTACCTCTAATAACTTGACTTGGTGCATCATTGACACTTTTAATTGAGGCCATGATTAGACGGTTAACATTTTGATTTTCTACTGCTCCAAAACTTTATAGGCAGATAAATAGAAAAAACTATCAAAATACTGTCCATAATACAGAATATAACGCTAGTACCTGTGACAATTACTTGGGTTGCATGCAAAGTTCATTTAAAACCACAATGTAAGTTTTCTTGCCTATCAAGATATTTGCAAATATTGCATATTGTTTGACACATAAATATGACTTAAGTGATATCACAACGCATATTGAGTTTTTAGAAAGAATGCCATTCCTTGCCAAACATGTACTAATGACCGAAAGAGCTGTTATAACTTATCAATTAGATCATAAATTTGAGACAGTGACAACTTTATCAAGCAGTTTACTGCAAGCTAGTTGTCAATAATGACATTATCGCCTGTGCTCTAAAAGCTCACTCACAGTTAGTGAGTGTGACTGACACATCACAGTGCTGCTGATCAGTGATGCAGTCCTTCCTGAATCAATGTCTGAGTGAGCTTTTAGAATGCAGGCATATTATGCAGTGTTATCTCATTTAAGTCAAATCTGCATGCCAAATAATTTGCGATATCCAAAGGAGTTTCATGCGAGTTTAAATTAACTTTGCGATGCAACTATGAAAATATTTGTTACAGGCACTTAATAGAGTAATAAATGAAATACTAACCCATGATACATATGTCATGTATACTGGTGATAGCCTACCAGCAGTCTAAAGTTTTGCAATTTGCCAGCTAATGTTATCAAGAGACATGCACTGGCAAATTTGCTGGTAACTGGCAGTTACCTACCACTGACACAGAATAGGGAATAAGCCAAAAGGCCATTCTAGCTAGTAGTTGGTTCATTAGTTTGTTTCAGAGCATGTACTATAACAACAGTGCAAAAAGTGTAATAAACTGCTCTGATATATTAAGAAATATGGGCTCTTTAATATACCATCTGATCAATGCAGACAAAGATCAAAAAGTTACATAATGGCAACTTACCTTTTAGATAAATCCCAGGATAGTGAATTTCCATCATCATCAGCAATGTTTCTTACAACATCACGAACACAAGCCTAATTGATAGTAATTAGCAAGTAATTATGCTACTACAGTTTTGATACATACAATATTTGGGGGGGGGGTTGTAGTTGTAAGGTAGGACTTTAGGTAAATCTCATTACAGATGTACTTTGATTACAACCCTATGCACCCTCCTATAAATCCACCACTGTTAAGAGATGCTATATATATCTGGAACTGAACCTGCACTTGTAACAAAGCTGATTTCATTCTGTGTTTACATGAGGTGGTCTAACTTGCAAAAACAAACCACTGCTTGCTGATATATATTGTATACATTAATTTTCCCAGGACTCCAATGCAAATTTAGCACTCTTGAATGATTCTGACATGTGGGTCATAACTGTGAAAGCTGCTTATAAAGGAGCCAAATTCAGGTTTGTGAAAAGTATACATATACTATCTATAGCTGTGAGCCTGTGGTTTGCATTTGCAAGGCTGCTTGACTAGATCTAATAAAATCAGCTTGGCAAAGTGCACTAACCAGCCTCTGAAAGGGAAAGGGAGGAGAATCAAAGGGAAAGCTATATTCCACCTTTATTCTCTCCCTAAATAACAGATGAAAGAGTACCATAAAATAGTAAAATTGATAGGTAATATACCGTTAATTCTAAGGGCAATCTTGTTCTTCTTTTTTCAGGTTTTAATCCCCCTTCCGAGCCTTTTTCCTCAATTGACTTCAACAGTCTCTGGTTGAAGGTGCTTTGCTGTTCCATAAATATCCTCATTTGTCTTAAAATCTCATCTTCCCTTGACCTTGAAGAGCCCGTTGTCGTTCCTAGCAGCTCTTCATCAATTTCTGGCAATAGATTTCGCCTTGTAAAACTATTGCCAGAACTACTCAAACTTGGAGTACTTTCTATGCGCACGGTGTTGCGAACGCTGGATACCGTCGTTGGAATCGTTGTCGTTTCAAGTCCAAGATCAGGACTTATGGAGTTGTCTTCGGGAGGCATAGGTATCTGAGGAGTTGTTGGTGCGTTTGGGATCATGTCAGAAAAGCGCCTTGTGTCCTGACTGACATTTTCCTCCGAAATATTCGAGTCTGTCGTTGTAGGGCTAGGCGAACATGATGTCCTCGCTGATCTCGATGAACTAGACGCTGTGTTCTTATTACTTTTCTCCGCAAGTTTCTTTCCATACAAATGTACGCGATTCCGCCGGTTTGGTGGTAGTCGCCCCATAGCACAAAATACGTTTTCGATGTAAATAAATCGCGTAAAATTCAATGTACTTTACACAATGTACGTGTGTCGTTGAATAATTCATGGCAAGTTAGCGCCAAAATTTCAAATCCGATATCCTTGCTCCCAAATCATGAACTTTGGTCGGTCAGGGAGTTGCGACGTGAATGACACGTGAAAGTCATATGAACATTAAATCTCAAATTTTGATTATCATTATGCTTGCGGGCGGACGGGTATTAGCTTTATTCGATATCGATATATTTTAAGCTTCGAATCAATATTTGATCCCATGAGTGAAAAAAGAAAGTACTGTGGACATTGTCAAGAGTTTGTTACGCTAAGAACATATCGTACGCACGAAAAGCTATTTTTTATCAAAGAAACAGGTATTTGGAAAACATGTGTCGTTTCTTCGGATGAAGAAGATGAACACTCCATTCGAGATGATATTAATGATAGTTCCCAAGACGAATGTGAAGGAAAGTTCCCTAAAGACAAAGGAGACGACGTTGGTTCGGATTGCTTTCATGGTAAGCCCTGCAGTGACATTTTTACATAAATAATAGAAAATATTAACTACAAATATCATGGCTTAAAATATATAAGGTACAGCCATTAAGGGGACATTGTGTCCCCTCAACTTTTCTTTAAAGAGCATTTTTTAGCGAAAACAATAGGATATGTGCTTTTAGTGTCCCCTACTCCCTATTAAATATTTGAAGCTGTTCATGTACCCACAGGCCTAATTTAGCAATAGGGCAGTTTTTTATTATTATATGATATTGTTGTTTATAAATTTTGCCAATTTCTGCAGATATTTGGAGTTGAAATGAGGTATTTTTATGTTTAGTATGGGCCAGAAGGAAGGTATTTGTTAATTTGGATTAGGGTGGACTATTAAAGGCAATCAGGTTACAGCATGGCAGTTTCTTCAAATAACAGCATAACAAATAACAACTGCCTCAGATATACAGTTGATAGGCCAATTGTCATATCTATATATAGGCAGTTGATGTACAACCAATTTTCCTTTCCTAGGACTATGGTGACTGTATCATCAGACTAAATAGAGTCACAACACTGCTAGACAAACACCATAACATTACTTTTATATAATTGTATACACTTGATCTTTGCAGGCATAAATGTGTGTTTTTGGCCTAACTAGGGTGGACATATACACTGAGTGGGGGGGGGGTATATTTAAGGAGGGGGCCTATAATATTCACCCAATTTGCCAAACAGTTTTCTTACAACTGGCCTATGATGATCAGGATTGCTTGAGAACTTTGATGCATCAGGGTTTTGGACGTAGTTGGCCTGGATCCAGGCTCGGTTCCCCTGCCCTTGACTATGTGATCCTGTTATATGCAACGTCAAAAGGAAAACCTCAGTGGCCATGGACATATTTCAAAAGACGAAGTATTAGACCTGGTGATCTCAAAAATTAGGTATAACACAAGTAGTAAAGATCAAAAAGGTTTGAGGACCACAAAATGTATTTGAAAATGTGTCCAAAGTTAATTTTTACCCGTGTACTATTTAAATAAGGCAGTACAATTTGTATAATATTATTTAACCCATTAGCTGGTATTACTCAGTAGGTGCAGTCGATGTAGTTTTCTTAACCCATTTTCTGGTAGTCTTCCCCTTATCGAGTAAAATTTTCTAACCCTAGACAGACTGTACATGCAATAATATCATATCCATGTTTTTGTAGAATCCGATTGTCAATCCAGTGTTTGTTCAGATGATGATGACTCGTCAGATTCAGAGTGGTTGTATAAAGAGCGTGTATTTCCAATTAACCCAGAAATTTGGGAGATTTCTGAAGAGGATATCAATGTTGACTTTGAGAGAAACTCTATACCACATGTTTCCAACGATCTTAAAGGTAATGCATCTAATCCAGTAAAGAATATTTTGCGTTGGGCACTTGTATTTTTGTCTATATGGGCTGCCCATTGCAAAATTTCAGAAACTGCACTGGAGTTGCTATTGTCATTTCTTCATCGTTGGTTTACTGTTTTGGGGACAATCTTTCCACCGTTTGCTGTTTTTATATCTTTTCCAACTACTATATCATCGCTACGTACATATCTTGGCATTGAAAAAGACAGCTTTACCAAATACGTTGTCTGTAACAAATGTTCCAGTTTATATTCATTTCACGACTGCTACGAGTTAAAGTATGGCAAAAAAGTGACCAAAAAATGTCAGTTTATTTCATTTCCTCATCATCGCCAAGTTCACCGCAGGCAGCGTTGTAACGTGCCGCTATTAAGAGAAGTTGTGTTAAAGAACGGAAAGTGCCATTTGTACCCATTCAAAATATTTTGCTATAAAAGTATATCGGAAACACTGAAGAATATGATAAGCAGAAATGGATTTCTCCAGAAGTGTGAACTGTGGAGAAGTAGAGAAGTTCCTAATGGTTTTCTAGCTGATGTTTTTGATGGACGTGTTTGGCGAGAGTGGCAATTCGTTGAAGGTAAACCTTTCTTAGCTGCCCCTGATAACTATGCTTTGATGCTTAACGTGGACTGGTTTCAGCCATTCAAACATTCCGTCTACAGCGTTGGGGCCATGTATTTGGTTATAATGAACTTACCCAGGAGCGAGAGATTTAAGCCTGAAAATGTCCTGTTGGTAGGTCTGATTCCAGGTCCTAAAGAACCATCGTTGAACATAAATACGTACCTCAAGCCCATGGTGACAGAACTAAATTTGTTATGGACGGACGGTATAAATATTAACTCTGAAATTTGCATTCGTGCTGCCTTATTGTGTATAGCGTGCGATCTACCTGCCGTTCGAAAAGTGTGTGGATTTACTGGTCATGGGGCCCGCAATGGATGCTCCAAGTGCAAGAAAGCATTTCTTGGGGTAGTAGGGAAAATGGATTTTTCTGGGTTTGAACCTTCCCCGCCTAGAAAGAATGCTGAGCATCGACAACAAGCTCAAGAAGTGCTTAACCAGACAAGTATGACCGATCAAGCTGCAGCTGAACAGCGTTATGGCACAAGGTTCACGGAGCTTATGATGTTGCCTTATTTTGATTGCGTACGGTATCATGTTGTCGATCCAATGCACAACCTGTTTCTGGGAACTTCCAAGCATTTAATGAAGAATATTTGGTTGCAAGGCGAAACACCACTTATTGAAAGGAAGGATCTTATGAACATCCAGAAAAAGTTGGATACGATCAAAGCACCGTCATCTATTGGTAGAATGCCTAAGAAAATCGAAAATAGTTATGGCGGATTTACCGCTGATCAGTGGAAAACGTGGACAATTCTCTTTTCAGTGTTTAGTCTTTGGAATGTATTACCAGATGAGCATCTCAAATTATGGCATGATTTTGTTATGGCTTGCATCTTGTATTGTGCTCCTGTCATCACAGAAGGAAGAGCAGAAGTGGGACACTCGCACATTTTAAAATTCTGCAAGGGCTTTGAAAATCTTTATGGAAAAGAGAAGGTCACGCCAAACATGCATATGCACACCCACATTCTCGACTGCATTTTGGATTACGGACCTGTATATTCGTTTTGGCTATTCAGTTTTGAGCGGTACAATGGTCTTTTGGGCGAAATTGTTACCAATCAGAGGTCAGTAGAAGTACAGTTAATGAGAAAGTTTACGTCCGAACAGTTCGTAAGAAACTTGGAGCTGCCAGTTCAATTTGGTGATTCGTTTTTACCTATATTTGAAAAACTAAATATTAAGAACACTGGAACGCTTGCCTCTGAGCTGGAAGACATGAAAACAAAAGAAGTGATAGAGACTAGTATGCTTGCCATTGGTCCTGTCCGAAAGAACGACTCACGATGGAGAATCGATGAAAGGAAGACTGTGTATGAACTGCGTTGTCCCTATTCCTTAGAAAGCTTGGACGCAGAGGATCTTGCCTTAATCACAAGGGTGTATATGGAAATATTTGATGGACTAAACGTAGAATCAGTTACCACACACTTTAATCGTTATGCTGGTGTCTTTTTCGCGGGGGAATATTTTGGGTCTCTGAACTCCCGGGGAGAGAGATCATGTTACATAATGGCTAGATGGTGCAGTCTTGGTGGGGTCATTGATAAAGCGGGTACGGATCTTAGACCAGGTGTTATTGACTATATTCTTGAGCAGAGTATAGAGGTTAACGATAATCGCGTGAAATGTATACTTGCGGCCGTAAGATGGTTTTCAGTACATCCCCAAAGACATAAATTGGGATCCCCAACTGAAGTATGGTGCAGAAATGTCTGGGAGTTAGATGGCTGTGCAAGTTTTATTCCAGTGCAAAGGATCTTTTGTAGGTTTTTCCTTGTTTATGATGTTGTTGACGGAGAGAGAGTTTTAATTGTGTGCCCAGTTCCGCGCAAGTTTCAGTGTTGACCGGATTTGCCAGAACATCTCTAAGTCCATTAAAACGTCGAATTTGACTGTACATTTGGCCAGTTGAAATGCTCACCATTGCATGCAAAATTCGCGCAATGCCCAATAAGGTTATTCAAATAAATTGTATATATATATAATTAGAAATCGCTTTAGCTTAGTTTAGTTTAGTTTAGCTTTGTTTAGTTTAGTTTAGTTTAGTTTAGTTTAGTTTGAGTTAGTTGAGTTGAGTTTAAGAGACATTTAAATACATGCTAGTAACATCGCTATATTACAAATTGATACAGGAAATTGCACAGCTCGAGAAGTATAAATGAAAAATTGAACGCGTGTTTAGCATAGTATTTGTAACAAATGCTATTTTTCATTAATTCTTCGAGAACAAGTGCAATCTCCTATTAATACCAATATAGTGAATTTACGAGTGGCCAAAGGTACTAAAGCATTGTTTATTTTACAGTAGGTTTCAAGATAGAACACTGTACGCGTCTTTACCTTCATTCAATTTTAATATTTTTTGACATAAATTTTCAGCCCATTTTCAGCAATTTCTATTTCGATATGTATTCCAATGTGCAACTTCTTTGAGCACATCCTGTAGGGATGGATGACAAAATAGAAAAGTTGAAATATTTCAGCAAATGTTGCATGTTCTTGATTCCTAATTCCGTTTTAAAAGGACATATGGATGAATCATGCTATGGCAGAAATCAGGCTATGGCAGAAAGTTACTTACACCTTTTTAGGTTATTTTTTGCTATTATCATGCCAATCGTGCAGAATGCATTCGAGCGTTGCCAACTGTTATTTTGTAAAAGTACCAAGTATGGTCCAGCCTCTGCGCAGTTTGCTCCTCAGGCCTCGCTCGTCGTGTTGCCAAAAACGAAATCGAACATCAATATGCAGCTTAGTACGGTAGTTTAAGGCAGTCTAAAGTCCCTAGGGTAGTCTCACCCTCGTACCCAGGACCTGCTGCTAAAAGCAAAGTCCCTGGAAAATGCTGATCCAAATTCTCCCAGATTTTGGGAGTATTTTTGAATCTCATTAGAAATTATGTGGCTATCAGGGTGGTTGAGCAACCTAGAACCTAAAGTCTGCTGTTTTCAACACCCCTCCCCTGATAGTCATCATAATTTTTCAGGAGAGATTCAAAAATACTCCCAAAATCTGGGAGTATTTTGATCAGCTTTTACCAGGGCCTTCGCCCTTAGCAGCAAGCCCTGGGTACGAGGTTGAGGTAGTCTAAGGTAATTTAAAGGTAGGCTATGGTATGCCTAAAAGGTATGCAAAGGGACGCAAGGTAGTCGTAATACACCAATGTTGCGCTCTGTTAAACTAAGTGTATTACATTTGCTTGCCGCTGATCAAATAGACCACAGATTCATTAAGCACTTCGCGCTTTTTTTCCGCGGATTAAAAACCTGATTGATAAATAAATTTATTAATTTAATTTAAATTTCAAATTAATCAAATATAAAGTACAGTACGTTGGAATTTTCATTCGAAGGTACGTATTACATTTACGAAGTGAATCATTTTAATAGCAACTGAGTATAGCCAATAAATGAATTCACCTGTTTTGGGAAGAGTCCTAAATGCATTAAGAGATCAACAGGCAACAGCTGTGTGTATAAAGTACCATCATGCCATGTCTTAATGGCTATCATGGTGCTTTTGAATTTGAAATTTCTGTTGTGTTCAAATTTTGGGTATTTAATATGAACCCATTTATAGCTTGCAAAATCTGCCTACTGTAGTGTATGTGTTTTCCTACATCTATTGTTAAAATATTATTGTTAAATATTGGCTAATATTTTAGAAGCATGGGAAGACATCTAAAAGAAAAACGACGCCAATACAAGCAGAACCGTAGGGAAAGGTTGAACAAGAAGAAAAAGTATGTGTTTATAGAAGTCAATAAAGATGAAAAAACATGAAGAGAGAGATGAAATTGAAGCAGCACAATTGGGTAATGATGTTGTAATTGGCAATAAAACTAGTGCCAAAGAGATGGATAGGAATGTAGCAAAGGATTGGTTATACATGAATATGATCAAATATTTTAAGAAAAAGAATGGATTTCTGAAGTTTAGGAGAGCTATGGAAAAACCAAAAGAGGGTGATATTTAGTGGGTCAGCACTGTGTGGTTCATGTAATTTGCAAGAACAATTAGCAGAGCTGTGGCAGTATAAACATTTTAAGTTAATATAGTATATTTTGATCTTTTTTAGTGAGTGAATGCTATTGTGTATGGTAGTTACAGTAAATTCAATTTAGCTCTGTGATAGTGAGTTAATCTACATTACTTTTGAAACTGAGAAATTTTTTAATGGGAATAAATAGGCTGAAGATTGCCATCAAGAAGGTAATATTGTTCAATGTAGGCATATCCATTATACAAATCTCACTAACTTTAACCTTTTGGATTGACTTATGCACAAACAAGATCTTTAAACTGCTGGGTTTTTGGAGTGACCATTTTGTGAGATCTTTAAAGAGACCTTTGTCAGTGAGTGACTGTTATTGTGTAGTTAAATTCAATTTAGCTCCATGATGGTGAGTTAATCTACATTGCTTTTGAAATTAAGAAATTTTATAATGAGAATAAACAGACTGAACATTGCCATCAAGAAGGTAATTGTTCAATGGAGGCATATGCATATAAATCTCACTAACTATTAAGCTTTTGGATTGAGACATTGAGTTACGCACAAACAAGATCTTTAAACTGCTGGGTTGATTTGGAGTGACCATTTTGTGAGATCTTTAAAGAGACCTTTGTCAGTGAGTGACTGTTATTGTGTAGTTAAATTCAATTTAGCTCCATGATGGTGAGTTAATCTACATTGCTTTTGAAATTAAGAAATTTTATAATGAGAATAAACAGACTGAACATTGCCATCAAGAAGGTAATTGTTCAATGGAGGCATATGCATATACAAATCTCACTAACTATTAAGCTTTTGGATTGAGACATTGAGTTATGCACAAACAAGATCTTTAAACTGCTGGGTTGATTTGGAGTGACCATTTTGTGAGATCTTTAAAGAGACCTTTGTCAGTGAGTGACTGTTATTGTGTGGCTAAATTCAATTTAGCTCCTTGATAGTGAATTTTTCTATTTTTTTTTTGAAATTGAGATATTTTTGAGAATAAATAGGCTGTAGCCAACAGGAATGTTAACTGTTGAATTTAGGCATATGCATGTATGTATCTTTACACATTTTCATTAACTGTTATGCTTCTGGATGAACTTATAAAGAATGAAGAGACCTCTGTCAGTGAGTGAGTGTTATTGGGAATAAATAAATTCAATTTTGCTTCAAAATGCTACGTACGTGATAGTGAGTGTTTTAAAATTCCTTTTGAAACTGACTTGAGAGAATTTATAATCATGAGGCTACTAGTCTGAGAGCAGGTATTTTGAATACGCGAATTCGTCTGCGGGCTTCAGACACTAAATTTGAGATTGCGTCCAGGAATCATTATTGCTTATTTAATTCTATTTGCCTGCAAAGTAAGCTTCAGCAAATATGAATGTTAACATTTACATGTTGTTTACACGAAAGCAAATACCATATTTACACAAATCTGTCCATCCTGGCAAATTTTGTGTTTGCGTCGAATTTGCAATATGGGAAAATATGCGTAAAAGTACTACATATTTACTTGTGGTGGTAAATATATGTCAAATATGCACAAACTTTACCTTTACTTTACTGCGTAAATTTGGCCCAAAATATTAGTAAATAATAAATTTACGCATGTTTATTTTGCATTTACTATGAATTAAACATTCTAGTTTACTGATATTTAACCATCAAGTAAATGTATTTCAAAAATAGTTCTCCATATTCACACCATATTTACATTTGAAGTAAACTAAAGTTAATCCAATTTTTCGTCCAGTGTGTCTGCTGTGTATTCTATATTATGACTCATTAATATTTTAGTAAATTTACATTATATTCTTACATATAAAAAAATAACATGTCAGAGTTTCTAGGGTTTCTTGAGAATTAACTTTTCTTCTTATCAGAAAAGTATATTCTTGGAAATATTTCTTATATTAAAAAAAAATTCTAAAGAAAATTTTTCTCATTATGAACATTCTATAAGAAATTTTGGATTAATCTCAAGAAAATTTTCTTAAACTGAGAAATTATTTGTGTGCAAATTTTCTTATTTTAAGAAAAGTTTCTTAAGAAAACATTTCTTAAGAAAAAAAGTAAGAAAATTTTCTTATTATTCTCCAAAGAAAATTTTCTTAAAATGAGTTTTTTTTTCATGAAATAAGAAAATGATTTTTTGCTGTGTACAACACCATAAATAAAATGGGACAGCGAACAATGAAACATTATTGATTGGAGAAACGAAACGATTTGAAAATGCCTTGTATCAGTTAGTCATATCGTGGAGAAAAATGGAATATATAGATATTATGTTCTAAAAAATTAAATTGCGCTTGAAAGGCCCGATTCTTTTCACTTCCGAAAGCGTAAAACAGGTCCTGACGTTGATTAAAGCATGGCTTGCTTCATGCTTGGGTTTTCCTGACATATGATGGTTCCGGTAAAACATTTTGATGCGTTTCAAAGTACGTATAATCGTCTTTGATATGCTGAAAACAAAAGTTACACATGCTTTTCGCAAAACTAGAATATTTAGGATGATACAACACCATAAACGAAATGGGACAGCGAACAATGAAACATTATGGCCAGGATAAAATGGAGTTTGCATCCAAATTTTTTTTGTCCCCTATCTAAAAGATACGATAATATTTTTTCCATTTGAAAATGCCTTGTATCAGCAAGGGTGAATTTCGTTTTTGACCAATCAGAGCATTTGTTTACCTTTTGCCGCTAAACCAATCAGAATCACTACTTCCGGTTTGGACTCATATTTCAACGCTAAAATCACGGTCGTGTTTAAAGCCTTAGAGGGGCCGGGTTTTTTCAATTTTTTTACTTATTTTAACGAAATCCTATAAATCCTT